TCAAGAGTCCTCTTGTATTTGAGTTTTCAATAGCTCTATACCTGATTTATGTCTTGCATTCTAATATTCCCCTAGGTAAAATGTAACCAAATAATTCGGCCAATCACAGTGCTCCTCCCAGCCTCCAATTATTCCATATCAGTAAGTTGATAAGTCCAAAGAAAATTCACATATACAATAAAAAATTCATTCCACAAACATTTATTCAGAACTTATTATAAGCCAAACACAAGAGTAGGCCCTGGATACACATCACAGAATAAGTCAGATATGACTCCTGCCCTCATGGAACTTACAAGATATAGGGGGAAGGGGGAGGGACACTAGAGATAGCAAACAAGTAAACAAACAATGACATAAATATTTATGATAAACACTATGGAGGAAAGTTTCAGGATGGAATAATGGAAAAAAGGAGAGAACCTGTTTATGGTTATCAGGTTAGGTGTCTTTGACGAGATGACATTTAAATAAATCTAGCCCCGGGCCTCCCCGGTGGCGCAGCGGTTGAGCGCTGGGTTGCGAAGCTGCCCGCGGCCTCTGCGGCGCCGGTTCGATCCCCGGCTGCTCCCCGGCCACCGGAGGAGGATCCCACATGGTGCGCAGACCTCTCCTGCCGCCCGCTGCTCCCCTCAGCAGTGTACTTCGGTCCTTCTGCCTGCTCTGCTCCCCGCTCTGGCTCTGGTGAATTCTCTCACCCTCCCGCGCTTCTGACTGTACCCAGTGCATGTATAAACAAAACAAACAAATATAATAAATAAATGAATAAAAAAATAAATAAATAAATAAATAAATCTAGCCCCAAAGACCAAAGCAGACAGTTTTGCAAGAGCAAGGGGAAGAGTAAACCTTCCCTTGGAAGACACAGCCTGTGCAAAGGCCCCAGAGGAACAAGCTCAATAGGGCAGAAAACAGAAAGGATACAGTCTACCTAGAGCAGGGTGGGGAAACTATACAAACTACAGACTAAGGCTTTAGTTAGGTCTCAGTGAGCATGTTGGAGTTTGTTCTAAGTGCAAAAGAAAATCACTGAAGGGTGTTAAAGGGGTATGACATTATCGATGTCTATTGCTTTGTAAAGAAAGAAAAAGGGCAACAATAGAAACTAAGGTAGTAATGTAGACAAAAAATAATGTGGACTAAGAAGTGGAACAGAAGATTTGAGATATTTTAACAACAGAATTGATAAGATTTGCTACTAAGGTGGTGGGGGGAGTAAAGGCAACTACATACAAGACAGTGGCATTAACTAAGATAATAGAGTAAGAAAACAAAGTGGGGTATAGTGGGGAATCAATAAGGATTTAGATGCCTGTGGGATAGCCAAGAAGACCTGTTGAGTAGGCAGCTCTATATTTCAGTGCTGGAAATTAAAGACATACTGATCAAGTTCTTTAAACTGACCCAGAGTGTTCATAAATCACAAATTAATGGGCAAAGCTCCAGGCTTCTATATCAAAATGGGCATGCACATGTGTACATTTTTAACATGTTCAAGTGATTCTCATGTCAACTAGAATGTGTCACTTAGGTAAATAGAGTGTAATATTACAGTTCATCACCTAGAGATAGAACTCTTTCTAAAAAGGAAAAAATGTTAAGATTATGGTTTTATTTACTATCTAATCTCCTCCAATCACACATTATAGAGGAAATACTGTTCTAATTAGTCATTTTTTCAAATGACATTTACTGAAGGCCACTCTGAAGATGTACAATTTCTTCTATTTCATAAATATTTTCTTACAAAATATCCATGAAATCTCTCCCAAACGAGTAAACCAAGGCTCAGAAAAGTGGAAAATCTTGCCCAAAAGACACACAATCAATAAACAGAGCCAAGACTCAAAAATCAATATAACACAATTCCAGTCTGCTTTCCACCACATGAAAATGCCACAAAGCTCACACCCACAAAGCTCACCATCTGTGACATGTCATGTGCAAAAATAATTATAACAAAATAAAATGGGGTGAGTGCCTTAAGGGAACAGAAAGGACAATGAAAGCTGAAGGAAAAATTACTTCTTGATTTTCACTATTTTAAAAGTTTTATAACTGCAAAAACTATACATTTCTCCTTTCAAAGGACCCACAAAAGCTGCTAAGACCATGAGTTTGAATCCTATACAGAAAGCACCACCAATACTGTTCCTAGCTCAATATATAACCTCTTCACAGATATGGGTGTTTAAAAATATTAAGGCTGCCTGTACAATGGTTTCAGTAGCCATGTGTAAATCCCAGCTCTTTATCAGTCTAAGGTCATAAAACAAGTCACTAATGGCCAAACCACAGCTGTCTTGTCAGTAAAATGAGGACACAGGATTTAGATAAAGAATCTATATACATACTTAATAGCCATTATCATTTGTAATTATTATTGGAAGAGTACAGAAATAATTTATATCTGTCTTTTAACACAGAATGTTGGATTTTACTTCAAAATCTACCTCAATACTGTATCTATGTGAACAAAATAGTCTCTGCTCTGTTGGAGCTTAAATTCAAATGAGATGAGAGAGTAAGTAAATAAGCATATATCAATCTGTGGAAAGTGCCATTAAACAGAGGAGGAGGGCTAGGAAGTATTATAGGAGATGAGAATTTGCTCTTTTACATAGCTTATCAGGTAAACCCTCACATGTAACTAATATCTGAAGTAAGTTCAGCAAGCTACCACACAGATATCTGGAGGGGGGGAGTCTTCAAGACACGGAGAAAGCATGTGCAAAGTTCTTGGGGCAGGAGTAATATTACGGTGTGTGAAAATGGTAAGAAGGCAAATGGGGGCAGGGGAACAATAGAGACACCTGGAAGGGCAGGCTCTAAGAGCAGAAGAGTGTGGAGATCTGACTTATGTTTCAAAGAATTACTCGGATTTCTGTATGGAGAAGATTATCAAATGGAAGCAGTGAGCCTCATTAGAACACTGCAACAGTCCCGGAGACACATAATGGTGACTTGAAACGAGAGAATGATGATTATCTGTGTTCTCGTTAGGTTTTGACTAGAGAACCCATAAGGTTATTTGATGAATTGGATGTGAGGAGAGGAAGAAAAAAGAACCAAGGAAAGCTTCACAACGATTTAGGAAGCATGGAGTTGGCATGTACTAACACAAGTCAAAGAAGCAATTTTATTTTCAAACACCCAGCAAATTGCCTAGTATATAGTGACCACTCAAATACTTATTTGCAAATTAAATTTAACTGAATTAACTGAACAAATTCCCAACATGAAACAGCAGACTCAATGCATTGCTTTCCTTTGCTCTAAATCTCCTTTAGCAATGGTTGTCAATTACACAAAGACTTAGTCAGTTAAGGTGCCAACACAGAACCTGCCCATGGAACACAGCAACTAATTCAATCTCAATAACCAGTGGTTTTAAATTTACAATTCTTCTGAACACTAGGGGAATTGCTATGAAAGCTCTGTGACAGCCTGAGGATTCTTACACCCAAAGTAATTAACCTGTTCATTAATGATGTCATGTTCCTGGAAGGTAGAGAAGTGCAAACAGAACTCCCAAGGCCAGAGTTAATTGAAAAGTATAACATTTCCTGATAAATTTTCCGAATGGGACTATACTGAACAAGCCCCCTTAAAAAAAAAAAAAAAAAGCCACCAGTCATCAGTATTTTTAAAAAATAGCTTTTTTACCCCAAGCAAAAAGTCCCTTCACAAACAATTTCAATGAAAAATAAAACCTGCTTGAGAACATGAAATGTAGTCCCATCTTCCCCCAAGGAGGCACTTTTCCTGCCAATTAGCGAAAGTGAGCTTCACTTGGGAAAGAAGTGGCCACCCTCACCTTTAGTACCTCTCTTATTGTCCTATACCCAGATTTTCCAAGCCAGCACCGTGCTATATATAGCCCCACAAAGAATCACAGAGCTAGCAGAAATATGTTCAAAGGAATGTTCCTAAAATGAAGTGACCATCCCTTTCTCGCTTGCGGTCATTTAAAAATGTGACCCGAAGCCTGGGCATCATCTCTCTTCCACATTACTTTCCCCAAAGCCCCACCCTAACCTGATGTGTCTGTGTGTGTTTTTAATGCGCTTGCAACTTTTAGTAGGAATAAAGCTGAAAGCCCTTTACTGGGAGAAGCTGAGAGTACTGAAAACAGCAACAGGCAATACTTCCCTTCTCCCTGTCGGCAAAAAGGTCTCGAACCAACCCAACCAAATCTTCTGCGATGCCAGCCGGCGCCGCATCTTGCCCCCAGCTGGCCTGGAAGCCGCCGCCACTGACCGCTCAGCTGGTGCAAAGGCCCGGGGCTTGGCCACAACAATGAGGCCAGAGGCAGAAGGGTCAGGACCCAGGTCTCCCAGCACCGCGGACGAGCGAGTGGGAGCCCGGACCGCCCGCAAACTCCCGGCAACCGCGCGGCACGGGCACCGGCTCCAAAGCCTGGGCACACGGGTTCGAGGCGCGGCGCAGGGAGGGCGCTCCCGGGAGGGCAGGCGCGAGACCCGCCTCCGGCGCAAGGAGTGCCCAGGGGTGCCCGGGCGTCCGCGGAACGGAGCTCAAAGAAGCCCGCGCGCCAGGGCTGAGGCGGCGTCCCCTCGGGAGCAGCAAGCCCAGCGCCCCCACACCACGCCACGGGCAGGGAGCGCCCCCCGGGCTTCACCTCGTCAGGGAGAAAGGCTGGAGAGAACGGGTTCAGGACGCCCCAAGAAGGGGCCTGGGAAGCTACACCCCAGCACACGGGTAGGACGCACCCGGGGGCGGGGGTTTCTCGCGTCATGACTGAAAACCGGGAACCCCTCAAGAGAGGAGAGCGGGGTGCGCGGGGCGCGCGGGGTGGGGGAGGGGCTGAGCGCCGGCGGGGCGGGGGCCGCAGGATCGCGGGGTGCGCGCTCCGGGAAGAGGAAGAGGGCGCAACCCCGGCCCGGAGCCAGGGAGGCGCGCCCGCCCGCGGGACTCCGAGCCGGCGCTGCCCCGGCGGCGAGCAGGGGGGCCGCGCGCCCGCTCCCCGCCCCCACACTCACCATGTAGAGGGTGAAGGGCAGGCCGAGCAGAAAGAGCCACAGGTAGAGGTGCAGCGCGTTCACGAAGGTGGCCTGGTGCGGGTCGTAGTACCAGCCCCCGCTGAGCGCGGCCCACACCCCCTGCCGGAGGATCTGCAGCGTCTGCGACCCCATCCCCACCCGGCGCCGCCGCCGACGCCGCCGCCGGCGCCCCCGCCCGGGCCCCAGCGCGGCCTCGCTCGCCCGCGCCCGCCGCGGCCGGGTCTAGCCCCCGGCCGAGCTCCGGGAGAGCGGGCCGGCGCTCGGGCGGTCGCTAGGGCTGCTGCAGCGGCGGGAGGAGGAGGGGGGGAGGAGGAGGAGGCTGCGAGCCGGGAGGAGGAGACCGAGGAGGAGGAGACGGCGAGCGGCGGGGCGGAGGGCAGCCGCGAAGAGGAGGAGACCGGCCGCCACAGCGCCGCCGCCATCTTGTCTTTAGCGCCCGCGGCCCGGGCCCGGCCCCCGCCGCCCGCGGCCCGCCAGCGCCCCGCCGCCGCGACCCCCGCCGGCCGCCAGCCCTGCGCCCGGCGGAGAAGCAGGCCCGGCGCCCGGGAGGGACGGGGAGCAGGCCGCGCCCCCTCCGGCTCCTCCTCTCCGCTCCCTCCGCCCCTCGGGCCGGCTCCCCGCGGGTGCGCGCCGCGCCTCGCCGCCGCGAGCGCCTCCTGCCGGCGCCCGGGAGAAGCGCGGGGCGGGGGGCGCGGGGCGGGGGGCGCGGGGCGGGGGGCGCGGAGCGGGGGCGCGGGGCGGGGGGCGCGGGGCGGGGGGCGCGGGGCGGGGCACCGGGGGCGTCCGCGTTCCGCTCCCCGGACTCAGCCTGGCGAGCTCGTTTTCCCCCTTTCTCAGACCTTGTCAGCATCCTAGCTGACGTCTTGCGGTGTTTGGTAAAGGCCTAGGAACCACGAGGCCAGTGATAGCTGAGAGGCTCGGTGAGGGGCCGGCAGAATGAGGTACCACTGATGACTTGAGAAATCAACAAACGCACCCCAGTTTAGTTTGGACGCCCGCACGCCCTTGGAGGCTGTGGGAGACCCTTGGGTGAGAAAGATATCCAAGTTCAGCATTGGAAGGATTTGCTCTTTCCAGACACAAATGAATAGAAGTTGCAAGAAATGTGAAAGTTTAGGGTGGACAGCCTTTATCATTTGCACAAGGTGTTTTTACTTTTTTTTTTTTTTTTTTTAGCTTGCTGTAACTTGTAGTTATTTTTCTTAATGGGCCAGTCTAAACAGGGTTGAAAGATTAAGCGTGGTTCCGCCTCAAGTTACAATAGCATTTTATATGCCCCCTTTTTTAAAAAAAAAGATTTATTTATTTATTCATGCAAGAACTGAGGTGGAAGTGGGGGTGGAAGGGGGAAGATGACAGGATTCGCTAGAGAGAGTGGGGAGCAGAACAGGCAAGGTGACTGAAATACACTGCTGAGGGGAGCAGCGGGTAGGAGAGATAGGTTAGCTTCCTGGCCAGCCAGGTATCAAACTCCTGCTGCAGTAGCTGGCGATGGCCTGATTGCACTATTTTTAACCCCTGTGCCACCAGGGAGGCCCCTTTTGTGCCCTTTTTAAAGATGTAAAGACTGGGAGTCAACCTCGACTCTGTGTAGTGTTTGTTTATAAGGTATGTCTGATCTCACTGAGTGGGGGAAAAAAAAGTTTGAAGTTTGTTTATTAAAGCAATAAAAATATTCTCATTCCTGAATTAAAGTTGCTGTAATTGACAATGAAAAGGGCCAAAAGAAACTGGTGATGTTTTTAGAATATTGAAAAACTGTTGTCATACCCCTGTGCCTTGCCACTTTACAGTTCAAACATTTCCTCATCATTGCTCTTGACCTTCACAACACTCCTGCCAGGCAGCATAGGAGATAACCTTATTTTATGGATGAGGAAACCAAAGTTCACAGAAACAAAGTGATTGCCCACATTCTCTTAAAGAGTGCTGGGGAAAACCTCTATCATAAGCAGTCATCCTTGACACATGAACTGAACTTTGGAAGTTCATTTCTCAGCACTCATCTCATCCATTCAGATAAGAGATCAATAACTGATCAGCAGTTTTGGTTACCTATGACCAGTCCTCAAAGTGTAGTCCCAAGACAGCTGTGTCAACACCATCTGAAGCCTGGTTAAAAATGCAAATTTTCTGGGATAGGGTTTCAGCAATCTGTTTTAACAAGCCCTCCAGAAGATTCTAGTGTACCTTCAAAATTGAAACTACCACTTTTAAACACCGCTCCTAGCTTTGATTTATTTCCTTATAACCGCAAGGCCATTGAGTTCCTGTAAGACTCCTTGAAATTGAGAGATGTGAACCAACACTGGTCAAAATATACTTTTAAATATATAAATATGTCTAGAAGAAAAATTAATATCAAATAATGCAATTTTACAGTTAAAATAATAGTCTTGAGGCTTAGTTACAGACACAAGACAGTGTCAAGTATTCACTTGTTTCTGTTAAAGGAGACAGGAAAGCTTTGAGCAGGTTTTGGAAGTGATCCCAAACTTTCCAACACAAAGAAAGATGTAAACAAGGATAAAATTCCAATACCACATCAGTTTCCACACTAGCAAATACCTCCTGTAGTTTAATATAAAAGAATTAACAATAATAGCAGTGAGGCAGACTGGAAGAGGTGGAGACTAGCACTATATCCATCCGTCCATGGAACTGGAAGCAGACAAAGCTGCCGTAATGAGCCTGCAGCCAGGAGACAGTATCTGGAGGGAATGAAACTGGCAGCAACCAGGAAGGCTGCCTGGATCAGGCTAGTTCAACACAGAAAACGGGAGTTTTGTAAGCCAATGGGCAGCTGCAACATAGCCTTGGGAAATCCAGGAACAGATCAAAATTGGGAAATCATGGCAAACAATAAAGAAAATGTGTTGCTTATAGTAAAGCCCCAGCCTCAGTGCTTCTCTTGCAGATCTGGACTCTACTCCCTTTAGGGACCTGATGAAAGACTGAGAAGAGAGGTCCTTGAGATGAATGGGTAAGTTTGGGCACATGGACTCAGACTCAGTGCATCAAGACAAATATCAAAAAGCCAGATTTGGTGAACAGACTGTGTCTTAAAAACAAAGCAGGAGTTTAATACCTAGAAGTGAGACCAAATTTCACACTGATCATGGCTACCATATGTTGAGGTCCCAGAGTGTTAATATAGAACTCTAATTCCCCTCCAGGATCACTGGGTTTGTTCCAAGAACTTAGAAATGGAGGCTTCGTGGTACCTGACACTGAGTAAAAAGGGGTTAGCAGGGTGGGCAGGCCCAGAGGTAGAAAGGCAATTATTGACTACATCTTTCAGCTCTGGACTGGTAAAAGCATTTTAGAAAAATGCCAATTAGCTGACTTTGAGTGTTAGCAATTGAAAGAATTCAGTGAAATGGATGACCTTTCAGAAAGACTGACTCAGTCATTGGGATAAGAGTGGGATGGGAGAGAATCCTACAATGCTTTTTATCTGTAACTTTCAAATGTTTATGAATGCTGCCACACAAGCTTGCTATTTTATAGACAGGAAACAAAGGCACAAAGATATTAAATGGTTTGCCCAAAGTCATATACCCCAATGAACCCATAAAATATAAGAGAATGAAAATGAAGGAATCTAATTTGCTAAGTGTTAATCCTTTTAGCCATGCATAAAAACCATTAATAATGGTACACTTCATATGTCAAAGTTAGCTGCCATGACATGCTACCAAACCACCACCTGACATTTGCTCATCTTTCAGCTAATTCTATTAAAATTATACTTCCTGACTAAATCATAGGTCCCTTGAGGGCCTTGGAAATGCTTCTTAATAGCAGAGGCTCCTCTGCCTGAAAGGGACAAAGCTGAGTGTGCAAAACCTTCTGATAATCCCCACCCGACCCCACCTTGGAACAAAGATGTATAAACCACAGCTCCGGTCAGTTTAAGCAGGGATGACTGTCTTTATGAGACAGTATAGCCCACGCAGCCTCACCTAAATGCAGTATCCATGTCTCTCCTTGACCCCCAAACCAACCCTGGTTCTTTATTTCTTCCAATGAAACCAACATTTTCCAACTCACTCAAACCTGAAACATCATCATCCCCCTCCCACACATACATGGTCTGGTTTACTAGATTTTCCCCCCACCCACCTCCCCTCAGACCTTCCTTTATGCTGCCAGTTTAACAACCCTCATCAGTTCATACCAAATAGCCTTCTATTGCCTTCAGTCTCTCTTCAAAACCACAGCAAATTCAATCTCCCTAATCCATGTTTCCCATGCCCTACCCTTTCTCCAAAGTTTCCGGTTCCCTTCTGTTACCTAATCACATTCTTGTTAGCAGACTTTCAAGGTCCCCCGCCATCTGAGTCACTGTTTTCTCCATCTTCACTTCCACTACTCCCTGGCATGAGCCCATTTTTCTGGTAACTGTCCCCATACCCTTTTATTTCTATTTATCAGCCTATCCATTTATTAATTTCTGCCTCTTACTGATGCCATTTGATGTCCTAGAAAGCCTTTCTCTGCCTAACATCCACTTACAATGACTACTTCAAACCCATTCATTTGTTTTCTGAATAGCCTCAAAAGCACTTATATGTTCCATTCATTTAGCATTTATTTTTTCTTTTAAAGATTTATCTATTCATGCATACAAGAGCTGGGGCACAGGCCAGCGATGGGTGAGAGGACCCACCAGAGACAGAGTGGGCAACACGTCAAGCAGACTGACTGAAATACACTGCTGAGGGGAGTAGCAGGCGAGTCAGGAGAGGTCTGCCTCACCATTTGGGTTGCTCCCTGGCTGGCCGGGGATCGAACTCGTGCTGCAGAGGCTGCAGATTGCCTCATAGTGCGGTGCTTAACCCCTTGTGCCACCAGGGAAGCCTTCAACACGATGTCTAGCAAAAAGCTGTTAAATATCAGTTGATGGGCCTCCCTGGTGGCGCAGCGGTTGAGCGCGGGGTTGCCAAGCTGCCCGCAGCCTTGCAGCGCCGGTTCGATCCCCGGCTGCTCCCCGGCCACCAGAGGAGGGTCCCACATGGCGCACAGACCTCTCCTGCCGCCCGCTGCTCCCCTCAGCAGTGTACTTCGGTCCTTCTGCCTGCTCTGCTCCCCGCTCTGGCTCTGGTGGATTCTCTCACCCTCCCGCGCTTCTGACTGTACCCAGTGCTTGTATAAATAAATAAATAAATCTTTTTTAAAAATAAATAAATAAATAAATAAATAAATATCAGTTGATGCTCAGTTATAGAAGATGAATAAATAAAGCAACACAGAAGACAATAACTTTTCAATTTAAGCTTTTAATGTTTTATCTTTTGTTTAGTAAATTCAAAAGCATTTCACCATTTTGAAAGAAATAAGGAATAAACGTGAACATCATTTGGAAGGGCGGGGAAGTAACTTAGAATTCTGGGCCTCCCTGGTGGCACAAAGGGTTAAGATGCAACCTATGAAGCTATCCCCAACCACTGCAGCACAAGTTTGATCCCTGGCTAGGGAGTTACCCACATGGCGCAGCAGACCTCTCCTGACTCGCCCACTGCTTCCCTCAGCAGTGCACTTCAGTCAATCTGCCTGTTCTGCTCACCACTTGTCTCTGGTGAAT